AGAGCATCATGAACAATAGGTTTAGGTAAAACTTTTAAATTCATTAATTTTTGACTTGGTTGATTACCAAATTGTATTGAATAAGTACCTTCATCATTTGGATTAACATTTTCTAAAGTTATTTCAGTTGATGTTGATGATACTGGTTTAATTGTTAAACGTGTATTTTGAGCAAGTTTTTTATCATTTTGTAATAAAAATGTTTGTTTCACATCTGCATCACTTGGTCGTTCAATTACTAAATTAACACTATCACCTTCGACAACTTCATGTGTAGGAATTTCTTCTGGTTGTTCTTCTTCTTCCTCTACAATTTCTTCGACAACACCTTGTTGTAATGGAATATCTGCTTCAGATTTTCTTTCTCGACCTGGTGTTACTTCAAGCATACAAAGTGGTTGCATTTTTCCATTAAATTCAACTGTATATCGTCCAACATCTTCTGGAGTAGCATCTGAAACAACAACATAATTGTCCGTTTTACCATCTTTTTCAATTGTGATACGACTATCTTCATCCGTAAGTGTTGTAACTGGTTGATTATTGATGTATAGATTTATTTCACTTGATTCTGTTGTTTTTGAGTCAGGAATACGAATAGTTATTGTATCACCTTGAGGAACTTTAACAACAGGAACTTCAATTTCACTTCGATGTGTTTCTTCTTGTTCGACTTTAGGCGTCTGAATTTACGAATAAAAAAGCAAAATGAATTAATCAATGCATAAAAAGTAAAAAAAAAATATATATACTTCTTCAACGACTGATGTTACTTCTTCGACAGTCTGTAATAAACAAAAGAAGTGTTTTAATATGAGGAACCGAAAAGGAAAATATTCGTGCATGAGAACATTTAAAAAAAGATATTTTCTAGGAAAGTTTCGTCTGTATACAATACCTCTTCTACTACTTCTTCAACAACATGTGGTTGTGAAGCTTCAATGGTGATTGTTTCTTCTTCTATTGTCACAGTTTCACTTTGAGGTTTCTTTTCTTCAGGAATAACACTAATGGATGGTGTATCAAGAATTAAATGATCCGATTTTAGTGTATAAACACCCTCATCTTCTTCTGGTCGAAGATCTTTCACTACTATTGTATATTTATTATCTTCAATAGTAGTTGTTACACGTGAATCTGC